ACTGTCACACATCCAGATAGTGTTAAATCATGTCAGAAAAACACATTACTTTTTATTTTCAAACACAAGCTCTGCAAATATAATCGGAAACAGAAAAGATGCATTCCTACAATAATCTCCTTTACCCTCACCATATTTTTTTAATTATCCAACCACTCAAAATAAAATTACCTACTAAATTAAAGATATTAAAGTAAAAGTATCTCTTAAATGATCTCTTGACAAGAGATCGATCCTTAAATCACACTAACAAAACTTGACTTCCCGCTTGATTCTGCCGCTAATGCTAACCACAACTTTATACACATCATATTTTACCTTTGGTGAAGTTCTGCTTCACATAAGGTTTTTTAATCTGTTTAATTTTATTTTATGTTTTTAAAAAAGTGTTAATACCCAAATATTCACAACATTTTGCCTAGACTCGTTTGTGTTTAGTGCAAGTAGCCAATGTTAGCATGCTAACACTAAACTGAACGCTGTAAACACAATACCTACTTAACAATAGCATGTTAGCATTGGGAGCATGTTTGCTTATGTTAGCATTTAGCTAAAAAGCACCACCATAGCCTCTCAGTTTTGTAACATGATGCGCTACAGTTCACTCCTTGGGTAGAACTAAGTTATGCCAAGTTAGAAATTGCGTCATGAGAACTGTTTCATTGGACAGTGAAGTACAAATTGTGAAACTTCTGGGAAGGCTGATGCCAAGGATACAGCCATTGTTTCCTTAAACAAAAGCTAGGACATTGAAATCATTAAAGTTCACTTCTACATCAGTACAGTTCAAAATGACAAATCGTGAAAATTCACAGACAAAAGCTGGCAATACTATTCTTGAAAGCATGTTTCTTGCCACATGTTTTTGCCCATGTGTGCTCACACAGTATGTAGTGCTAGACAGTGATATCTGTTTACATCTTTATAGCTTCTTTGCTGCTCCTCAGAGGAACCAGAACTCCCTGCCTGAACCTCATAAACTCTGCATGAGGTCTACAGAGTCATGACCCTGGGAATTATGTGTGTGTGTGTGTGTGTGTGTGAGAGAGTACACGCTCGCTCACATGTGTAAAAGAGGAAAGAGAAAAAGGAGATGTCCGATCAATTACATGTCGATACTTTCTCATCCTTCTTCCTGTTATACATGGGAGAGAAACGCATAATGGTAACCAGGCTTCCTGTGGCATTGCATACAGTTTGTGCTTTGAGTTAAGGGGTTATGGGACTTGTGAGTTTTTTTAAACAAAATATTTGAAAAAAAACACTCCAGAAACAATTCTGTGCCCTGGCATTAATAAGGCCATATGGAACATATTGACTCGAAATAGAACCGAGAAGTCTGAGTGGGAAATCTGTGAAACGCTTTCTTCTCTCATGGACATCTTGTTGCTATAAGCATAGGGGCCAGTGTTAGAGGCAGGATCTGATGCTAATTATATCATCTCACCTCTCTCAGGGGTCCCACTGCCCCCCTTTCCCTTCCTTACAGTGTCCCACACAAGCAGCAGCTATGATTATGTTCTGAGAACAAATGTTTGACTGGACTCTGTCATGTAGTCCAGAGCTCTCAGATTTGTCTCCACCAGCGGAGAGGAAGCAGGGCTCACAACCTCGACCTCTCACCTTTCACCCCCCCCATGAGCCAGATTTCCCACATGGGACTTTGCGACAGTGTGCGGTGTTAATCTTCCCAGGATCCGGCCAGCGAGGAAGACCCCCACTCTCAAATAAACAAATAGCGCATTTATCAGCAAAACGCATAAACATTGCTACTGTGATAGCAATTTAAGGGTGGAATATTGTAGCCTGTATGTTTACTTGTGCATGTCATCTTCTGCTTTATTTGAAGGGGTCAGTGTGTGTACACAGTCGTGTGTGCATGATCTTTTGCACACAGCTTCCCATATTTTTTCTCATGCAAGGAGATAAAATCACATGTTGATCACAGTTCATTCTGTGCAGCGGAAACAGTGTGCACACACACACACACACACACACACACACACACACACACACACACACACACACACACACACACACACACACACACACACACATCATTTAATCTTTTGTTGGTTTGCAGACAGCTGTATAACTTCTTTGCAGCATAAAACACAGATATAAAATCATTATATAAATCGTGTTACTCAGAGCAGAAGCAAGAGAAAGAAACTTTTGACAAACTTGAGTAACCCAAAACGAATCCAAGTCACGCTTTTGAACCAGAAAAAAAAGAAAAAGTGAAGAAATAATTGGCTGTTAGATTGATGTCCGGTCAGGGTAGTGATGTAAATTGAGATTTGATGCTCTCTGCTCCATTGCTCTCCTTATCTGCTGCCTGTACGGACACTGCCTTTTGGATGATCAGACAAAACCTCACAGACACACACTCCCACACATGCTCAGACTGTTAAGCACTCAATTCATGCAAATCATTTAATACAAAAAGACAAGACTGAATATACAGAAACTGCTAACACTTTTTTTGGCATTGTTCTCACTCTAAGATTGGCAAGATCATGTGTCACGAATCATGACACATATCTTTATAGACTTTTACGTTTTAGAAAATGTTGTGTTTTTCTTTCTCCTTGAAACCTAAGAATGGGAGACGTCCTTTTTATTGTGCCAAAATAATGTTTTCACAGATGCTATGTTAACAATAAGAAGAAAGTATAGTTGTTTTCGTTGTAATGTTAGGCAATATTTTGAAACACTTAAATATATAATGTGTTATATTCTTCAATCCACTGAATCTGTATTATGCACATGTGATTAAAAGAGAGTTCTGCACCCAAACAAGAAAAGTAAACATGTTTTACATGCCATGAATGCCATAAAAAGTGAAACATATTGAATGACATGTGCACCAGACCAACTCAATTGATTGTCTGAAGGTAGGATAAAGGGAGATTGTTCCTTCAAAGTTTGTCAAAGGTCAAAGAATGTCAAACAGAAGCCAATATGAGATAACAAAAAGAGAAAGTAAGGTCAACTAAGATCTATGTGTCTAAAGAGCAGTACGAAATCTTTATTTAAATGTCTTAAATGTGTTACTCTAGAGGGTTAATAGTAATAATTAACAATATGATCAAAAGAAATGTAATCTGTAATTGACTATGTATTTGAATAAAATACTTAATGTGTCTTCTGTCACGCTACTGTAGCAGCTCTGTGAGGCTGCTTCATGCTAAAACTAGCGTGATAACATGCTCATGCTAACATGCTGATGTTAAAGAAAAGTAGGTAATGTTAACTATATTTCTACTATCTTAGCTTATCTTGTTAGTGTGCTAGCAATAGCCTAATAACAATTTCATCTGATGTAGGGAATTTCAATTGTTTTCCAAGTAGTTTTTAGTACGTATTATTGTATTATCCAGGTACTTATTATAGTAAAGTATTCATTGAATGGTGTCCTTGCTGCTAGCATAACTTACATGTTACTTCAGTAACTTGAAAGTAGGCAAGTATCATCTTATCACCAATACACTTAATGTGGAACTAACCGTGCAGTAGCTTCTCAGAGTGGTTTATTGTTATAGTTATTAAATAACGTGATTGCTATCCTTGTATGTTAACAAGGTACAAGGTGAAGCACAGGGAGGTTGCTACTGTTATTTGGTTGTTGGGTCGCTCCTTGATGGTGCATCATGTTTTATAAACACTGAAACTTGGTGGAGTAGCAGTACACTCCAGTGAATGTGCTTTTCTTCGTTACATAAGAGAGGAACTGCTGGGAGACATATCAGATTGTTTCTGTTAACTTCTATATTTCTGTTGGCCAGCATGACACCATACATTTCAGTTTTTAGTTGTTCCACATTATTATGACTAAGGGCTCTTGGCTTCTCTGTGTGTATCTGTGAGAACAACTGCACATACCCAGCATGCCACTGTAAGAACACTGCATTAATAAGTTTCCGTTTTGGAAAGCCTAGTCGTCACAATCTGTGCCATACTGCGAACACTCCATTTTTCATATCCTCCAAGAAGGCAACGACGGAGATCTCCATTTGCGGCCTTCGAAATCTCGCCTTCATCCGTCATCTTCAGCTTCCCACGGCTATTAGAACATGTCACATCCTGATAGATACTCAATGGAGCAGAGTGCACACATGCATCGCAACACGCCTGTAAACAGCGGCGGGAGCATTGCGTCGATGCGTGAATTCCAGGCTAAGATTAAGTACATCCAGTTGCACAAGTATTGAAGCATAGATGCACACGTGCACGTGTTACACGCACGTGCACACACGGGGAGTTATACGCTCACACTGTTGATCAAAGGAGTTGTGATGTAATCAGTCTCAGAGCTTTGCGAAGCATCCCTCATTAACTTTCACCAGAGGCTTTAATGAAAAACCACTGGAGGGAATCTCCGCTGTCTCTCCTTTTCTCACTCCTCTTTCTCCCTCTCTTCCCTTCTCATCTCCTTGTTCACTCCCTGCAGTATCTGCTCGTCCTCCTCCTCATTCATCTTCCAAACTCTGCCTCCCCCCTCTGCCCCAGTGGCTGGCTTGACTTCTGCTGAGGAGTAAATATTTCCCATGGCTTATCTGACCGCTGGCAGGACGAATATGACACAAAGTGTGAGGCTCTGCTAATTAACACACAGCCTCCGTTCCACGGGTCAGAGGCCTCTGCAGGGACAGTGAGGGGCTTTAAGTCACCCCGAACACACTGGTGTCCTATTAATTATGGTTAGGTACGACACGCGAGCATGAGTCTGCAGTGACCGGAGACGCAGCAGTTACACAAACACATCTTGACTTGATTTTCTTAGTTTGCTTGTAAATAATCTGGGAGGGAGGAAAAGAACAGAGAGCATGATTTTGTAATGTTCTCCCTCTCTGCAGGCTGGCTTGTATCCAGGTACAGTCCAGCCCCTTGGTTATGATGAAGGTGTGACGTGTAAGCAACTTTGCTGTTGTGCAACTATCAAGAGACTCTTGGGGGCTATAAGACCCCCAACCTCATCTGGTTTCTCCACACACACATACAGACACACACACAAACACAGAGGCATGATATGGTCCAGGGTATTCAGCTGTGCAGATTTCTCTTAGAGAGGTCGAGGAGTATTTGTCAAGACATGGACTTTAGTCAAAAGAGGAATTGAAAACCGCTTCACTGCTTGGACTGGACGCTCAATCACTCACAGGTAACATGACTTCTTTAAATACATTGAGTATGATTGGATTTGATAAAACCTTAATTTGTATTTGATAATACATCTTTGAGTTTATTTCCCTTAGTCCAAGTGTCTTAACATGATTACCAGTTGTTGTTTTGTTATTGGAGAAAGTCATTTCATTATGCAATCCCCTTATTTTACTGCATGCCTATACTTTAAACACTGTTGTTATTTCATGTTATTATTAATACCTTCCTCTGGTGCAGCGGACCGTATTAGGATCAGTTTCAGTGCCTTTTAAGATTCCTGTAAGCCTATTAATTCCCAAATTAAGATGCCACTTTCTTCATGAATGTTCCATGAACTTTCAGTCATTAATACAATTCTGAGGATGCCATTAATCCAGCAGATTAATTCAACCCCTCCATATGTATTTCATTACTGCCCAACTTCAGGAATGGTGTAAAGTATTTTGCCTGTGATTAGTTATCAAGTGGGACAGCTAATAAACACCGGGGAGCCAATTTAAAATGACTGTCCATAAAAGGCGAATGGATTTTGAATACCCTCTGTTTTTGTCTTATTTCCAGCTGACCTTGGTCAAATAAAGGGGAAAGTTGAATTTTTATGACGCATCCAGTTCAATGATGGCATTGCCAAATGACATCACCCTTTTCAACTCCACCTCGTCCCCCTTGACGACAGAGATCTATCTGAACATCTCTGTAGCCCCCTCGGCCCCCTCCTGCATAGACTGGCCTGTTGTACCCATGACTACGTTAATCCCCGCCATCTATAGCATCATATGTGTGCTGGGCATCGTAGGCAACACCCTGACAGTTTGGGTGTTGGCCCATTCCAGCACCTCAAGGAGAACTGTGGCTAACACCTTCATGCTGAACCTGTGTGTGTCCGACCTGCTGTTCCTGCTGTCCCTCCCCCTGTGGGCCGTCTACTATTCCCATGGCTACAAATGGACTTTTGGCCGTGCTGCCTGCAAAGTGTGTGGAGCTCTCCTCCACCTCAACCTCTACGCGTCCATCTTCTTCATCACGTTAATGAGCGTGGACCGCTACCTTGCTATTGTGCATCCGCTGCGCTCCCAGAGTTCGCGGTACCCCAAACGTGCTCGGTTCACGTGCATCGTGGTGTGGGTGCTTGCGTGTGCTTGCTCAGCCCCCACCTTGTATCTGAGGGACACTATCTACGTGCCTAAGTTGGGTGTGGAGGTCTGTGGGATTCACTATCCTGATCGGGCCTGGGACCTGACCCTGGCCTGGATGAAGATTGCTTTGGCCTTTCTCCTGCCGCTGTTAGTCATTTCTTGCTGTTACTGGGCGATTGGCAGGCATCTGTTGGCTAATACGGGGCTGGGAAGAATGCGGACAACATCGCAGCCCTCCAAGATGCCCTCTTTTAAATCCCTGGAGTCCAAGGATAACTGCATTAAACCAGAGAGACCCCCGACCCCTTGTGTGAGCTCAAGCGGGGGCAGACCCCTGGAGGGCAGGGGGCTGGAGCGGGTGTTGTGGACAGTAGCTTCGGTGGTCCTGGCCTTCTTCATCTGCTGGTTCCCCTTCCACTGCGTGACCTTCTTAGAATTGTTGAAGAACGAGGGCTGGTTGAACGGCTGCTTGGTGAATTGGACAACCCAAAACCTCACCCCCCTCACCCTCTGCATGGGATTCTCCAACTCGGCCATAAACCCTGTGCTCTATTGCTTTATCGGAAACCATTTCCGGGGCCGCCTCGGGGGGCTCTGCCAGGGTCTGTTTGCTTGTCTGAAGGCCCGCGGGGAGGACCACAGACAGAAGAGAGGCTCCTTCAGCACCAGGCTGAGCTCCTACTCCCGAAAACTCAGTGACCTGAAAGACCTGGCGATTGTTGAGCCGTCTGGTCATACCTAACTACCTGAAGGGGAGGAGGAGGCTTTCCACCTTCCTCCACTGGCTTCACACCCCAAACAGTGATGCTAACTTCAAATGACGGTTGAACTCCCAACAAGCATGGATGTGTGTCGCAGAGCTGTTACTACAACTGACTGAATTACATTTCATTAGAGCCAGAGTGCACAAAAAGACAGAAACAAGTCACCAAGGAAATTATTATATTATTATTTAATTATATATATATAGGCCTATATATATATATAAAAAAAAAGATTTTAAGTTTTAAAGCTGGTTAGCCAAACTGTTCAGCAAGCAGGCAGCTGTTAACAGCTAAAACATTTGTTTTAAATGAAGGCTACACAACTTACTCAACACACTGCAGACAGACAGTTAGCAGCTAGCTGGTGAACATAATATAGCATGTAGCGGCTAATGAAACAGACATACCTCCAGAGTAGGTAAAGACCAACAGATTTGGTATTATATTGTTGGCTAAAAAGAAGCTCTAAATGATTGATTATGTTACTCTTTATCTGCTAGGTGTGTAGTATGCAACTGTTTGCTAACAACAGCTGTCAACTTAAAAGGTGATATTATCTCAGTTTTCACAAAGTTCTCTCATGTGAAGAAAAAAAGAATCTGTTAAGTTTAAAGGTGTAACTAACCTGATAGTCACTAGTCACATCAACTCTGCTAAGCTAAGGCTAGCTAGTTTACTTTCTTTGTTTCAGATTAGTTGGATTTAGCTTCTGCCTCATTGATATGGAATGATACACTAGATACGTTTTTTATACAAGGAAACAGGAACATGAAAGAGTTAATGTATCATAGGCTTTAACTGTGGTTATCTCAACAGCTAGCTTAAATGTAAACTCTATTTTGTAATAGTGCTAACTATGATGTTTTATCTGAAATTAGACAATGGCATAACAATATTTTATATGGTAAATCACTTTTATATGGTACATTTTGACCAAATGTGTGGGTACTGCGTTCTCTGCATTGAAGGGCAGAATCATAATGAGATATACAGATGTATTGGATAAGTATTAACCAATCAAAATAAAACTTATTTGACTGTGCTTTCATGAAACCAAGATATTAAAGGTGGGGTAGATAATTTTGGAGAAACCAGCTCGAGTGCGCAATAATTTGAAAATACAGAGCTGGAAACACTTTTGCCACTTCCTTACAGAGCCCCTCCTTCACGAACGCGCACATGACCAATGAGGGCACGAGATACATTTGTGCACAGTTTTACGGCTTCCACAGATGACATTTTTGTATGGATTTTTTGTCAAAGCACTTAAGATATTCATTGCTATCGGGATGTTAAGAGCATTCCATGGAATATAACAACAAGTGTATATCGAGACGGTTTCTCAAGCTTACCCCACCTTTAAGTGTAATCATGTTATATTATGGTATTATTCTGTAAAGACAGTTTATTCAAATTACTTTATTGCATTTACTGAAAATTAAAGTGACCAATATTGGCAGAAAAAATCCTTTGTTTGATTTGAATTCTCCAAAATTATTTTACGGATCCTTTACTAAAATGGGAAATGGTCGGGTAAATTTAAGCCACTAATTACACATACACCGGTTTAGTGAAATTGCTTCTTTCAACTATAATTTCTACTTTCTTTTATCCCAAATTCACCCTCCAACAGCTGCGACTCCGGAGCTCCCCCCCACCCGGGAATGAGAGTGGTGCGATTACTGTCGGCTGGCAGATGGACATTCAGTCTCCCCATTTTTTCCCCCCTCCCCTCCCAGAATGCCTCACTCAGATTCCGTACATATCAAGGCCAGATATCATAATCTCATACAAATGTCCCTATATGCATTCCAGTCCAGTCAGTGGATTTGGTGCAGGGAGCCGCTGGCTGATCAATGATGTATCTCTGTCTGCTATTTGTGTCCAGTATAGATCCACTACATTCTGCATTGACCCTGGACTGCCTGCTTGTGAACTGAGAGCCAGGGGAGTGTGGTTAAATGTTGTCTTACTGAAGGACCATGGGGTATACACATGAAGTGGATAATCCTATAAACGTTTTTGTTGGAAGGGTTTTTGCTTTTTTTCTATTCTAGATTTACAAAAAAAGATAACCTCGCATTTTTTTACGGATTAATATGGCACCCAAAAGGAAAGAAAAGGCAACCATTCCTTACACTGGCCGAACATGCAGTACATCATCCTTCATAACCTCCCAACGTTTGCCACTGGATGGCGCTAAAGTGCTGTAGAAGCACTGGAAAAATGCCACTGGCTGCTTACCCAGACACTGAGCCCCAAAGTCCCAGCGCTCATGATCTTTCTGAGCCGAAGGGAAGATGGCTCTGACACAGACTGATGACTCATGTAGGATACAGTTCTGAATGCATGAAAACAACAAATGCTGCATTTAAAGAGAGCTGCCAGGCTCAAAGCATGTACTGAGTGGTAGGTTGACCTTTCCGAAGGGTCACTGGAGAGTAGGTATACAGGGAATACAGACCATCAAAAACAGGAATGATACACATCTCAATGATGAGCTTATAAAACCAGATGCTGTGCTATCACATCGGTAAAATAAAGCTGCACAAGTTTAATATTTTAATCAACAACAGCGTCTTTAATTTGACACAACAGAACTTTCCGAGTGACAGCACAGATTGCAGGAGGAGTTTGTCGCAGTATGTTCAGGCACACAGCTCTGAGCTGATGGCTCGCCGCTCTGCAGAGCAGCTGTGAGTGTCCCTGACAAACAGAGCAGTGACATGTGACTGAGAACATGTGCTGTTAACTATTGCCGTCTAATGGGGAAATTGGAGCTGAGAAGTAGCTTAAACACTATCTTATAGCAGGTGATAAACGTTTCCCATGCCTGCCATACAACATCTTAACCTTAACATACCATTTAAATGTAACATGTTGAAATTTAACATCTTTGTGAATTACTTTTAGCTTTACCACAAGTTTAAGAATGATGCCACTGGTAGAAAGTAACTTATTACTCAAACTTTACTTTATAGTTTTGAGGTAGGCTAGTTTCTATTTTCACTCCACTACATCAAAGAGAAATAATGTACTTTATAGGCCTATTCGTGTAAATCCATAAGCCTACTGTGACTAGCTACATTAAAGGGGACCTTTCATGCAAAATGCACTTTGTGATGTCTTTTATACATAAATACAGTGCTTGAATTGGAATAAAAAAGGTGCCAGTGCTCTAAATCAGCAACTGTTTCAAGTCAATTTATTTATACAGCCCAAAAACAAGAATTTGGCTCAAAGTCATAGGCGGCCTATATCCTACTGTATAATGCTGATGGGTTTGTCTCTTTACTGTATTTTAGAAAGGCTCACTATACTTAAACAAAATGACTCAGGGTGCATCTGAGATTAGAGGGGGTGCAGGGGTAAAGTGCTATTTTTATAAGTGGGGAGTGGATCTCCGAGACCCGACCACGGATAAGCGGGAGAAGATGGATGGATGGGAGTGGATCTAACACAAGATTTTTTTTAAATATTGAAGTTAAAAGCATCCATCTGGTGCACTTTGAGAGCAACATTAAGAGATCTGTGGATACATCTCTCAACACCCATATGGAACAGAACTGTAAACAGATTTTCTATTTCTTTATGGATATTTTACAAATCACTCCCCTTTTAAACTGTATTCTTGTTTTACTGTCATATAGTATTTCATTTTTAGTGAGTTACACAGCTGAGTACCAGGAGACAGCGTTTGGTACTCTGGTACAATTGTGGTGAAGGCATCTGAGTTAGATGTATTTGAACCGAAATGTCTACATAGCAGAAGATGGCATCTTTTTTACATGAATATTCCAGCCAATCTCTGTTTTGAAACCATGAGCTGCAAAATGAGCGCCTTACCCCGCTGTACAGGCGAGTTGGGAACTTGTTTAAATATACCTGGGCGGGCTCTGTTTTGCCGAGGTCCTCTGGCACTTGCGGGCCACCGAGGAGTGGCGGTGTTTGGGGCGACGAAGACTGCTGCTCCGGGGGCGAGGCTGGCAAAGCGGCGGCGGCACCTCATGACGCATCTACTGAGTACTGAATACCGCCGTACCGGCACTGTGCCGGTACTGAGTAAGAAGTAACGGTACCAGATGGGTACAAATCAGAGGTCCCGGTAGCCTACTGTGTACCGGTGAGTACCGGCCCAATTCAAGCACTGCATACATAGGCTATGTGTCTCCGGTGCGTCGGGGAACTCACGCAGCGTCAGAAAATAAAACCCTCTCTCTTTTCCTCCGTACCCAAATCTTTTAAAAACAGGGGTACAACGAGCGGATACAGATTTGCTGCCGATTTAACGTCAAATCGGCAGCGGACCCACAGAAAAATAACTATCAGAAATAATGCCTGACGTGTTTTGGACGTAATCTCGTCTTTGTTTACATTAGCAAGCCTCGCTAACACTCAGAGCTAACCTGTACTGTAGCACATGTGTTTAAAGCAGGAAATAAAAAAAGAACTCACCTTGTGGTAAACCCGCAAGAGAAAAAGCATTTGAGCTCCATACTGTTTCAGAAATAATCCTTGATGTGGTTTAGAACAGGATGGCATTGTATTACAGCAGAATTTAACTTTATCTCCGGTAGAATTCTGATCAGGCATTAGCTCCGCCTCCTCCTCTTTTTTTTTTTTTCAAGCTAAGGACCTAAAATCCGCGTTTCTCTAACAGGGCTGCAAAAGAGGCGTATGAGCAGTATGAGGCATGGCTACAATGGGTGAACTGCAAAAAACTTCACAGACATGTTTTGTATAGGTATGGCCTTACAATATATGTTTCCAATATAGCATAATAGGTCCACTTTAAGTAAGTATCAGCATAAGATTGCACAAAAAATATACTATCAGCTTTTAATAAAGCAGAGAAGAAGAAATCAGATCTTATAGTTCAGTAAAAGTAGAACAACCAGAGAGTAGGAATACTTTGTTAAAAGTAAAAGTCCTGCAATCAACATGTCACTCAAGTAAAAGCACAAAGTATAAGCATCGAATATACTTAAAGTACCAAAAGTAAAAGTATGTAATGTCCCATTTTAGAATCATTTATGTCAATTAACTGGATTAGAATGACTGATGCATTAAAGTGTGATCAAAGCTGGTAAAGTCGCTGCTAATTTCAATTCCTTTGTATACTGCAGGGTAGCTCCTGGTGTAACTGAAGTCTTATTTAAGTGTTGATTATATTTCTCATCATTAATCCAAATCTGTAAAGTAACTAAAGGTAATTAATAAATGTAGAGGAGTAAAATAATACGATTTACCTTTGAATTGAGGTAGAAGTCAAAAGTAGCAAAACATGTAAAAACTCAAGTATAGTACTTGATTAAATGCACTTTACATCACTGTAAATCCTTGCTTTGTTAAAAATTAAACCAGTTATTATTGACATTTTTGGATTGCGACCAAAAGACCCCTTATACAGAATTAGAGGCATATGACTTGTTAGCAGGTCTACTGAAACTCTTCAAATGGTTCATTTAAATAACAGTTTGAGAAAATAAAGAGGTTGAATTACTTTATATTTTACAAAAAGCTAAGTAAGAAAATAGTTTAATAATAATAAAAAACTGTACATTTGTCAACAAATCATTCTTCAGTCACAGGGGGCATTTACTCCAGAATAAATACTTTTTACACTTTTTGCTGATTATTATTTAGCATTAATACCATTGTTAATGCATATCCTTTACTTGTGTATGTATGTGAGTGTTTCCTATTAATGTATTAATACATGAACTGAGTGCGGGTTAAAGATAAAAACACTTGTTCCGCTTTTGCACCTCCCTATTCTTAGAAACTGACAGTGTAAGAACACTTAAATAGGAAAACTAAGCGAGTCCGTCACACACTGCACACATTTTCCTGTGTGCAAAGAGTGATATTGCTTATTTTTCACTCCTCTCTTGTGCTTTATATTGTTGTGGAAATATTCAGTTAGAATCTTTGATGTTATTTCCTGTCGATGAAAAAAATACAATCATTTCCTGAGAGATACGCAAACCCACATTTCAGTGTGTGCGTACATGTGTGTAGTGGAGGAGGAGGCAGAGCGACAAGCCATAAAGGTTAGAGGTTAGAGAGAGCTGCTATCAGTCTGGGTTAGACGCTGAAAAAAAACTAAAAGCTGCTTTTACCAGAGCTCCCAAACGGACATTTTGAAACATCAAGAAGTAGATATCAAATGAGAAGCTGGACAGCTGCCTTACCTGTGGAAACAACGAGAAGAGCAAAAAAAAGGCCTGCAGTGGAACGTTAAAAGTGAGCAAGGGAGGGAGAGGAGAGCTGGCAATAGGAAGGAATACAGTAGTGGATCTGGAGAGGAGATGGAGAACCTGTCTGTGTACCACGGGCCCATCGGGAAGGAGGAGGGGGAGAGGAGGCTGGGGCAGGACGGGCGGGACGGCTGCTACCTGCTGCGGGACAGCGACTCTGTGCCCGGGGTCTACTGCCTGTGTGTGCTGTGAGTACAGACAGAGGGTGATAAAGTACTCAGTACAAGTAGAAATACTAGTTTGAAAGTAATCATCCTGAATTCAATATTGTACTTAAGAAAAAGTACTGGCATCAAAATGTAATAAAAGCACTCATTCTGCACAATGACCCGTTTCAGTTACATCATAAGTGTACTAAGAGTATCAAAAGTAAAAGTATGTAGAATATAAGTTTAGCTCTTTCTTAAGAATAGTATCTTATTTTTATCACTTTTACAAGTATTTTAATCTTCTAGTTTATTCATTTGGAGCCAATTTGAGAGACTTCGTAACACATGATTGATTAATACTGCATCGTGTCATATGAGCAGATTGTGTGTTTTTATATATAAAAAGCAACTAGTAACTAAATAAATGTAGTGGTGTAAAACATACAATACTGTCTCTGAAATGTAGTGGAGTAGAAGTATGAAGTAGCAGACAATGGAAATACACAAGTAAAGTAGATTATGTCAAAAAGAATACTTAAGTACGGTACATATATGTACTTTATTACATTCCACCACTGAGTACAAACACATCTCTGCTTCTTTACCAAGGAATCACACCAACACATAATCCAAGTTTCTTCTATTATAGAGTATTGATCTCCTCACATTTAGGAAAATAAAAGTATTAACTGAAAGACGGTGGCCTACAATTAAGTGTGACAGTCTCATAAGAGAAGTAATGATCACAATAGTGACATTAGAGCAAATGCCTGTTCTCAAGATGAAGTCAAGTTAAAGTCCTGCACTCAAAAGTAAACGTACAGAAGAAAAAAATACTTAAGTACCAAATCTTAAATCCAAAGTGACCTTTATTATATTACGGGTTTATCAAAGTGATGCATTCATGTGTCTATCATTTTGATGTTGCAGCTGGTAAAGAATGACACACCATAATAACTTTTTTGTACTGCCAGGTATCTCCATCCAAAATCAAACTGTATTAGTTTAATACATGTTTGTATTTATATTATAAACCTGCACATTTAACTAGTAAATATTTGTGAAATAAATGAAGTGGACTCAAAAGTACACTTATTGCTGCCAACATTTAGTGGAGTAGAAGTACAAACTACTATAAAAGGAACAACTTAAACACAAGTACCTTCAAAATGTACCTTTGTACAGTACTTGAGTACATTTACTTCGTTACTGTCCACCTCTGAACATACTAAGTTACAAGTTCCTGCATTCAAAATTAAGTAAAAGTACAAAAGTATACATAAACAGCGTCATATACTTAAAGAAAAAAAGAGTGAAAGTATTCATCTTGTAATGTGGCTCATTTTAGAGTCATATTAAAGTATTGTTTTATAATTATTACACAAATGTGTTCATCACTCATGAAGGTGGGGTTTATTTAAAACACTTTGTAACGCTGAGTTTAATCACAATATATGAGTTGGTTTATATTTTGTATCAATAACCCAAAGCTAGAAGATGCTACTGTAAGTACTAGCACTAGGTAGAAAGGGAAAAGTCAGTAACCTATGAAAATATATTACGATATTGTTTTAATGATACCTAAATCTGCAAAGTAATTAATAATCTGTAAGTAATGTAGGTATAACGTTTGCCTACAAAATGTAAAAGTATAAAGTAGCAGAATGTGAAAATACTCAATTGAAGTTCGAGTAGGCTATGT